GCAAGCCAACCTACTAGTTACCCTTCTGCGCAAGGCCTCCGTGACGAATCCTCAACTGAACCCAGAGCCTGATCATCTGTAAACTGCCTAGAAATTCCTCTACGCATTATACAACCAATTAAAATTTAACGGAGAACCATGAACCCCCGATAGAATAGTAAATGCATATTTCTGCGCAAAATAAAGCATCCTTTGCGAAATATACAAGATCCAGAAGCTGTACAGAGACGCTCGGTAACAGCAAAGCAGTGAGAGGCGCCAATACGAAAGACCAGAACGAGAGACTAGAATGCAAATGTGACTAATTACTATACAGAGATATGCCACTCAAAGCGAAAAAATAACATCAGGGTCTGGGTAATCCCCGCTGATTTTGCCAGAGGGTGTAGAAGTGTTGCAGCTGATGAAAAACCGTGAAACTGATACCGGCTGCAATCGGACCCTTGATCCAATTCATTGTTACGCCCTTGTAGAGCCCATGAAACAGACCCTCTTGCCGATACACAATTCGCAGCGTACCCATAATGCTCCTCGTGTACTCTGGATGACCTTTGTAGAAAACATCAGAGCATGAATGATAAATGAATGCCTACTTATTTTTTGGTAATAGAAAAAGATGCCCACAAAGCCGATGGTTTTAGAATTTTATTTAGGCCTTTTTCAAAAACAGTAATTATGGGCAAATTTTGATGTAAGTTAGCCTTGACGCCTACTAGGCTCGTTGATGAGGCTATAAAAGTAATGAGAGGTTGAAGATGCTACCAATACAACAGAATTGGATAGGCGGAACCCATCCGCGGAGGACAAACGATGAAGCTCGTTGCTTTCTTGATGATCAACGACTAAGTATGGTCGTCGACATTTTCACAATTAAATTGAGTAGGTCGCATGATCATGAGCAAACAAATATCTACAGAGGACGAAGAATTCGTAGGTAATAAACCTTAAAACAGAAGCGAGTCACTAAGTGATTCAGTTAATGACGTGCGATACTTTTTTGAGGAAAAAAGATGCACTACCGACATGTGTTTCATGGTTCCGGATCCACAAGATGATAGCTCACGAAATCCCAAACAAACGATTGAATTCGCGTCAACAGTTAGTCGTACTTTTAAAAATGACTAAGTTTTCCCTGAAACGCAACTGGAGATATGAGGTTGTGGAACTTGAAAGGTAAAGAAATCCAATGCAAGAGGAATAGAAATGGTGACTTCATTCCAAGATCTTTTAATGAATATAAGCTTTGGAAAGGTGGGATTGAAGTTCAGAAGGCTAAACCTTTCGACTCTGGAAAAATCGGAAACGCGAATAAACATAATAAAAGTTTGCCCAAAAGACCAGTGCACTGGAATGTGTTGGTGCATTCAGCTACATTAAAACGCCAAATGTGTGCTTAAGGCATGTCTTAGTCGAAGGATGGTGAATAATCAAACTTACCAGTGACACTCCCTGTCTGCATTCGTCTTCGAACAATGTCTAGAGGGTAGGAGGCAGTCTGACCCAGAACGCCCGCTAAAGCTCCACAAGAGAGATTTTCAATAGGTCTCAAGCTCTGCGGAGATCGATTATCTGAGGTCAGTCTTTTTTCTATAGGAAAAAAAGCAGCCACTAGTACACAGAGCTCAACATCAATGACTATCAATGATGTAATTGATTAATAAACAATCTGATGCTTCCAGAGTACACAAAAGTGCATCACGTGAGTAGCATGTAGACAGAAGACTAACTGATTCGCCACTCCTTGAGTGTTTCGAAGGTGAAAAAGGCAATGCCAGAATACGGAAGTATACCAAAAAGAGCAGGAGTGAAGCCGTGGTAGAGAGATCGCAGATTCTCTTCCCGACAGGTCAGTCTTACCACATCAACTAGGTTGGCGTACCTAGATAAAACGTTGGAACAATGAAATTCGAAACAGAAGGTCCGCGGGCTCAAGCAACTCCCCGAAGTAAGAAACCAGAGTGAAATCCAACCGGCATAGAATAAAATTCCAGCTTAATTGCAAAAAATGAGATCAAAGGAACATTTGAAAAATCAAGGTATCTCAAGCTACGCATGATTCAATAGCCAAGTGTATTTTCAAACTTCAGAAATTAGTCGCATTCCAGAATAACCGCTAATTTAACCACGTACTTTACACGTTCTGTGACGGCCATACGAGCTCGTACCAGATCTAGAGGATAAGTGAAAGAAACTGAGACAGTTCCAGCGATGCAACCCGCCAAAAATCGTCTTAATTGAACCTGGCTTTTCGATCTAAAATGTGTTGTTCAGATTCGAGAACATCGAGTGAAGACAATGCAAAAAACAGATATTAAGAGACCACAACAACTTACTAACGCATCTAAAGCTATGGTCAATAAAACATATGTACCAGTAATAAACTAATGATTACAAAGATGATTAGATAGATAGATAGACACGCATATACAACTGAACGTACAGGCAATGATGCGGCAAATCACTAATACCAAGATAGTGTTTGGCACGCTCGTGAACTCCATATTGAACCGCTGCATAGGGAAATATCCTTGTTAATGTTGCAGAGTTCCCTCGCCACAGACTACGAACACCGGCAGTTAAGTATGAATGCTTCAAGAAGTTAAACAGAGCCTTTACATTAAAACACATTTCTGAGGCTGCAACATTTAACTTCGTCAAAAATGAGGTACTTTGAAAATTAATTTTTGCTCGATCTAGGGGAGCAATAGCAGTCTTTGCACAGCATCCCGCCAAACCCCCAATGATGAAATCCGCAAAGGAGGGAGTTGAACCACGGAGAAGACCCTACAAAATAAAATAAACAAGGAACGTGCGTCCTGTCTATCCCCATTGCAAGTTGATGCAGAAGACAGCGGCGGCGACTTCATTCAACCTGGGAAGCACGACAACCAGTCAGTGCTTTGGTCATTTAATTACCCCGACTGAAAGAATGAATGTTTAAACACACATTAGTTCGTTACATCTCTCAATAACTTTATTCACAATTTTTAATCAAACGACAACAGTCTAAATGGTTCCATAAATATAGGGGACCTTTGCGCCTAACCAGTTATGATTAATGGATTCAATCGAACTGGCGATCTGTATCAGCCTGTGTATAGATTTAATTTAAAAACCACTTGTATGTCCGAAGCAAATGCTGAAGGCTGCTGTAACATCTGGTATCTGGCGCTTACTTTGGTAGTTGTCTGGCTCCCTTACGTGTGGGCTGGCCTTCGGGCCAAGCTCAGGCTTGACCTCTTTACTCTCCCTGGAATATGCGCATTTAGCTCCACTTAATGCCTTCTTCAACCTGTGGGAAGTCTCGAGACGCTACAGCTGATTTACGCAATAATAATCCACAATGTATCAATTGAATGCGTTACATTTAATAAAAGGCATCGATCTATTTACAATTTGAAGAGTGAATGTTTCAGTGCTTTGTCTGTTCGACTGCTTGTGTGAGGGTAACGTTGGCGACCAACTTGCCTTTGTGGTATGAGCTGGTCTTCTGGTCCCATCAAAACCTTACCTTAACCATTTGTCCAAATACAAGTATTGAGTCACTTCTTATGCCTTTCATTAACGAATGGAAAGTCTTGGGACGTTGTAAGTGCGGTCAAGGAAAACAAGTTGTTACGTTAATTGTATGGAAGATGTTTATTTTTGGTGAATTATACGCATTAGCATTACAACGCAAACGACTAGAGGTTACGCCTTGTCAACTATTCCTGCTTAAGCATTTCAACCCTTATCTAATTTTAACAAAGTAAATTTTTATGACGCGCATCAAGTCCCATTACTTTTGCTAAATTCAGTTTTATGAAAACTCCAAATCAAGTTACTTTCCTTCATTAGATTAACTTATCATCTGAGAAGCACCCCTTAGTAATATGTCGAACACAGCAATATGGTAAAAGCAATGGGTTCTAGTGAGCATTTAAAGACAATTCTGAAGTTAGAAAAGCCCTTCTACTATGCCCAAAGGTGTGCTACCGACTACAAGAGTCAAGGGTTTGCTGGCATGGGCTGGATGCCATCCTGGCTGACTAGCATACAATCGACGAATACTAGAGTGGGCAAATAGCTGAACACATTACACATGGGTCTGAGAGACGTTAATTTTGGGTACAAAAGCAGCACTTCCACTGAGAAAGCATGCCGAAATCCTTTTGTGCTGTTATACTATCAGGTTGGTAGCAATCCGGTATCCGACATCACCCGGGGATCCCCGCTACGTCGTTTGAATTTTAAATGAATTCAAGCACATTTCAAATTACGTGGATCATAAAATCGTTCAGTAAATAAGAAGTCTGAACAATTGGCCCCAACTTTATGGACTAAGCGAGCGTTTTCTTGGTTAAAAGCAACTTACTAAATACCAACGTATAAAATACGCCGCTCGTCAATGAGGTAATTGAGTTGGGTGCGAGCGCTCACAACGGTTTGCCACTCCAGTTCTCACAAGCCGCGTAAGTTTATTCATGTGGTTGCCAAGCAACGAGCCTTGGTAGCTAATACAACATGAGACCTATTGTGGTAGGTTTCATCTCCGAACTTGCTTTGTAACCAAAAGCACGACATTCCTACACAGAATGTTACGTTGGGGTCGCCATAACGGCATAAATAACAGCTTTTAAGATATTAAGTGTGATAGCCTTGCAAATGGGCTATGAACGACTGGCTACGATGAAATTAGCTAACTTCAGACCCATTCACGTAATGCATTTGTCGTTGCAAATATCATGCCCTAAACCATCATCAAACCCTAAACAAAAATTAACAAATGGTGTCTGGTGGTCAGCTTGAC